AAAGAAAGTTCTGCCACCGCTCCAGCTGTTTCCCACCCTGCCCCATCACAATCTCTGTCTTGCCCGGATAAAATGGGAGCTTTCACGCAAGCCCCCAAATCAACTAAGTGCTGGTTTATTCATGTAAGCATGCATCAGAATATTGGATTTCTTTCTGTACTCTGACATGACATATTTGTTTGAGAAACTGAAAACCATCTGTTCCACTAGATGTCAAAGTTAATGCATTGCTTATTATTATCATTGTGGTTGTTATTTTGGGGATGAAATTTCCATTGCTTGTGAAAGTGAGAAGCGAACAGCACTTAGAGCGAGGCAGGGTGCAGGAAAGTACTGTGTAAGTCCACCACATGCAGCGCTGCCAATGTGCTGTGTTTTGACCAGCAGCCCCCTGTCCCTCCCCCCCCGCTACTCTTAAAAAGGGCCTCTCCTGGGTAGAGACTGGCTTTTGAGCTACAGAACCAACTTACAAATATTAATGTGTATCTGCCCTTCTAGCTCATTTGTTTGTTTTCCCACCTTTTCAATATGAATTCTCTGCCAGAGGCTAAAAGTAATAAACATGATGGAGGTCTTTTCCCTGTTTGCACTGGGGATTTTCACATGGGACTCATTAATGCTGGTGAGCACAGACCCCTAACGTACATGTGTTGCTTTTAATAAACTCCTCTCCATGATAAAAGGTAACTATACTCTTGACTTCAAAGTATGTTCAGTGCTATTGCAGTAATTACTTGAGGGTGCGTTATAATGCTATCTTCTGGATAAAAGGTGATAAAAAGGTGAATAACAATGAATTAATGCAGCACATCTCCAACACCCGCCAGTTATGACAGTTTTATAATGGGGAGAGGAGGAGTCCCAGGAGTTATCTCATCTCATTTAGCAGTAGCAAATTTGGTAAATGAACGCCCCCTCTAAAATTATAAAAAGGCAGTGAAAGGAGGAGAACTTTAGGTGTTGCTTTTGTGGCCTGTTCTCATTTCTGCATTAAGGTAAATATTTCTGGTAGTATTACTATAGCAGCTAGAGTCCCACTGTGCTCGGTGCTGCACATAAAGTTCTGTACAATAGGTCACACACATGGTTGCTTGGAAACATAGCTGTTGCTAGAGTTGGCAATTCAGGGAAGCCTGGCTTCCAGTCTTTGCTGCCAAGAATATTTCTGTTTTCGAACCCGTGATGTGGCAACAAGGACTGAATCCTGACCTACCCACTCCAAAGGAGTTCCCTCCTCACTGCAGAGAACGCAGACCCATATTCCCCGCCCCCTTGCCTGTTCTCCTTCTAGATCCATGAATCCTGCCCTCTGGATGGCACAATGGCCCAGCTGTAATGGGACAGGGGGAGGGTTGCAGAGTGCCCCTACCCTGTCTCTTCTATGGCCTGGTGGTTAGGGGACTTTCCTGAAAAGCGGAAGATGTATATTTGAATCCCTTCAAGCTGAGCAAGACCTGAAATCCCTGTTTCCCACAGTCTGGACAAGCATGCTAAACTAGGCTTTTATTTAAAAAAAAAAGGTGATGCACCATCACTGCCACATAAAATGCCTTCTGGATACCATGGATCTTGAGATGATATGGATGGATATTCAGCTTTGAGTTAAGTGCCCAGGCTCTGAAGAGGGGCAGGAATTTAGGACACAGACAGAAGTTACATTTGTTGTGTGATTGGCCCCTTGAAAGCATGCTACAGCTGTGCCCTTACAGAAGTGCATGGCTGCAGAGCACTTTAAAAGTGCTGGATCACTTGACAATCTGAACACTCCAAAGCAGCATGCCTTCACTGACATCTGTCAGCATGCGCCGGGGACAAGGCTTGTCTGATACAACCCCCAATGCTGCCTTCAGAATGGGAGGGGGCGAAGGAACAGGAGGGACTTCTGCCTGGGATTTGCCCAGCCTGCGTTGGGACAAACCCCAGATTGAGCTCCCTCCCCTCTCACCCCACCCTCCCATTCTGGAGACAGCACCAAAGCTGGCGGGGAGAGGTGGGCTGGCTATGGAAGAGCAGCTGCAGACACATAACTGCTCCAAACTGGAGCTCAATCCCTCCAGCCCCCCAACAGCAAATGTCTCTTACAGCAAACGGGGTAATGCTGTAACTCATGGTGCGCCCTGTGAAGTGCCATGACTTACAGCAGGGAGCTGCACATCTGTCAGTGTGCATAGAGACATCTCTGTATCTATTATTTCCTACTGGCTAACTCTAGGCTAATGCAGTGCCTACCGTGTTCTGGATTGCCCTTCGGAGGCACATAACTCTCTCAACAAGGTGCCTAACCATGTTGATCAGAATTGTCCTCTCGTGACAAGATCCTGACTTGTAGGTGTAGCTGTACCAAAGTAGAAACTGCTACCAGCACAATCTGAATCTGGCCTTTTGAGAACTGTAGATGAAAAGTGCTTTAATGCAAAGTGTCCTTATTTAGTTTTATATGGTCACTAGTATTTCTAGCTTAAGGTAGCTAATGTCTTTCCATTTGTGAGCCAGTAGTAGGATAGATACTTTATGCTTGTAGTAATAAAGTATCTGTTACTATTCTTCAGCATGTAAGTCACATTCTATTTAAAGTTGTTAATAAGGCATCTTATTAAATTGTTGACTTAAGCAAGCAATGTGTAATAGATAGAGCCACGTATCTTGTTAGTATTTCCACAGCTCATTTAGTCCCAATAAAAAGAAACCATTCTTTCAGAGTTATAAAGCACTTTGATATTAATCTGTATCATTGGTACATCACTTAATCTTACTAATGCTGTGGAATTGCATGGCAGGGTTATGAGGCAATTGATAGCTCGATCAGCCAGTGGCTGGCTTGTACTTTGCACAAAATGTAGACAAAACTTATTAAAATGATCTATTTCTTTTTTAAAAGTGTTTTTGCTGCGTGAAATGACTCCAGTCTCAGTAACAAAGGTTTTCAATTACTTCTGAAGGCCTTAGAATAGTTTTAGTGAGGCTGCAAAGCAAAGAGAAATAAAACAATGTTATCACTCTTTAGTTAGCATGTGAAAGGTTTGCTCTGTAAAAGTTTACCTCTCAGCAATGGAGTCACAAAACTGCCAATACAGATTATGGGATAAATATCAATTCTTTTTAGTGTCATAGTTACCTAGCATGTGTGTTAATCCTTGACACAGAGTAACATCTTCCGAGCATATCATGCATGAAGAGGGGCATGATGTTATTAAGTGAATCGCCATAGCAAGCAGAAGTAGTAACGTACCTAGAAGAAAAATAAAGAGCGTGTATTTCATAGTATCAGCATTTCATATTCAAGATTCAATTGCAAATTTGCACAGGCAAATAACAGAAGTGATGTAGGATTTTAATTTGTTGTGAGCATGGTGCATTTATGTCTCAGCAACAACTATTGGGCAGTATTTATGACTGGAATCTTCCATTTCCATTGTTTTGTTTTGCTTTTTAAATAAACATACACTATGAATGAAAAAGCTATGCATCTGTCAGATATTTAGGCACAGGCCCTACAAGAACCTCCAAATTAGAGAACAAAACTTTGTGCTCATAGTTAACCTCATGCATACTCAGGTTATCGTCTCTCACAGACAAAGATACTGAGTCCTATTCACATGCTGTAGAATATGCATTTGTTTGAGTTTCTTACAGAACTGAAAGCACAGATGCTGTGATGATGGACCTAGTATAAAAAGAGACAGCGTAATTGCATACCAGTTTAAGGTAAAGCATAGGTCTAGATTCAAAGGAAAGCCCCTGCATAACCTCACAACCAGGTTCTGGAGCATCCAGAGAAGAGCTCCCTCAGTGCTCCTGAGACAAATCAAAGAAGACAAGAGTCTTTGAGAAAACCCATTTCTGCTTCTACAACAGATTCCATGTAGAGAGACAGGATATTTGGAAGAACTTAACCTGTTCTACCTATGCAAAAAATTGAGTCAGGTGAAAAATATTTAATAAAGTTTTAATATTGAGTCTCCAATTTGTGAGATCTGCATGACTATAACAAAACTACACTATCTCAATGCTCTCGCTACTAGCATTCAGTTGGAGTGTGTAACAGAACTCTGTGATGGGAATGCATTCTACAGTATATCTCACAGTACGTAAAACAGCAGCCTCTTAGCATGGGATAGCTACAGCCCTTTCAATATTCTTCTTCTTCAGTCACTGATACTAATAAAATCGCTTTTTTCTCATATGGTACTTCTGCTAAATTGGTATTAGCTCCCAAGCCTATGGCACTGATCACATTTTTCTTGATTAGTCATTATCCTTCTCATATTTTGCAGCAAAGAAACAGCTATTTAAGCCTACAAATTTTCTATTTTTTCATTATTTCAGCAAGGTTAAGGTTTAGAGACAAATTCTGAAACCTTGCTTATGTGTGCTGAATTGCTGTGACTGCTCATGTGAGTTACAGCTACATAGACTTACCCTAAAATTCTTAAAAGATACAACTGTGTGCATGTCAAGTGACCATTTTTAAGGCAATTTTTGTTGAGAGAAATTGCGAATATATATGAATCAAGGGAGGGAAAAAGTTGCTGCCAATCCACGTATTGATCAGGGAGCTGTCCCCAAGCACTTTGTGACCAGGAGTTTAAAAAGTCATCTCCTGAAGTGTATATCTGATAAGATACACACTGGGAAGTCCTGTAAGAATCATAAGTGCTGTGCTTGACGTTTCTGTTAGAAGGTCATATTACAAGCTCAACTTGCAATTATTATAGTACCTATAAGCATACTCACGAAAATGGTAAAGATTATAGAAGAAAGAGGATTGGAGACAATCCATTATCAGTCCTCCTTTTGTACAGTTTAAATGAGAAGTATATTGGCATATATGGATGAGCTGGATTATCTATATATTGTATCAACTTCCCTTGCCAAGTTTTTTTTTCAAATGGAGATATCCACATTTTAAAAACTAAAATTTCTTTTCTCAGCTGATCCTCTATTTAAAGCACAAAGTGTGCTTTCCCCCCTTCCTGTCCCCTCTCTCTTTGTTTTTACAGGGAAGACCAGAATTTTCTGAAGTAGTCACCAAGCTAGAAGAATGTCTTTGCAATATCGAGGTAAAGATATGACTTCCTGCCAACTGCAGTGCGAAAGCACCAAACAGCTGTGTGATATGTGATTACAAGTTGGAGTGCAGCACGAGTGGAAGCAAACAGTTGTTTTGTAACAGAAAGCAGAGTCTTTTGAGTGGATTCATAGACTTGTGAACTGACCCATTACATTTTAAGATGATATAGTAACAATAGCCTGTAGGTGCCATAAGCAGCAGATGCCTGAAGGCCGGCCCAACACAACACACTGCCATGAACAGTGGATATTGGGTCTCAGAAATGGTAACACTGCAGAGAGAGAGACAGTGCTGAGAGATAGGGACTATAATATAGTCTTTTGCAGAGTCATTTCTCCCCTTCATCAAACCAGGGTCTGCTTAGCTAGAAAAGATAATCAGCCTGGCTTGAATCTTTGGGAAGGGAATTAAGAGAAAACATGCAAAGAAGAAAACAAAACTAACTTCCTGCCTGGCTTTGAGGCTAATAACCAGCTAGATCTATTAGCATTCACACTGTTGAAGACACGTGATCGAATAGAAAGTAAGCTTAATTCAGGATTTCAGTTCCTGGAATGATCTTTGCTATTTGTGTGGATGTATGTGGATGGGCGAGTTGTAAAAACTCTCCTCTTCTTTTTAAATGTATTACTGTTCTTGAGCTTAAGGGTCACGGCAGACACCCATAATCTATTACATTTCTTCATGGTCTGACTGCAGCAGGTTGCTTTATGTGTAGGTGGAAGCTTTTAAGTTTAAAAAGAATGTGAAGCACTATATCGCATGTAACCATGCTCTCTCATGGGAGACCTGACTTCTGTGATACATAGGCAGCAGTGCATGCAGGATGAAATCTGGGGCAGGAGCTTACATTCCAAAAAAACAAGGGAGCTGGCTAGGGAGTTAGTCTTAAGCTCCACTGTGTCCATGGCAAAGCCTTGTTTAGGGAGAGTTTTAAGGAGCAAAATCTGTAGAGAGTTGTTAAGTACAGCAGGCAGCAAAGGCTGACATTTGAGGTAATAAGATTTTTTTTTTCTTTTTATTTTCCACTTCCTCTCTTCTGCTTCCCCCTCACTCAGCAAATCACCTTGGTTCATTCTGAATCCTTTAAATGCCTCCTAATACTATGTAAGAGCATAAGACTAGAAAGGAGAACCTAGGTCACTGAGTCCAGACTTTTGCTATCACAGGAAGTCAGGTCACAATCTTTATATTTACATGTACATATATTTCACTTGCTTACCCTGACACTCTGCAGCCCTGCCATTCTGGGTTGCTACGGAGAGATTCACAGATTAGAATGCCTGAAGGAACCAATATAATCATCTAGCATGACCTCCCATATAACACAGGCCAGAGAATTTCACCCAGTAATTCCTGCTATGGAGGGAATTTATTCTTCTCTACTATAGAAGTGAACATGATCAAACCCAATAACTCATAGTTGAACTAGAGCATATCTTTTAGAAAGACATCCAATCTCAATTTAAGGACTCCAAGTGATGATGAATTTGCCACTTCTGTTGGCAAGTGGGATGCAGCTCTTTTCTCCTGCTGATTGAAGTCAGGAGGCTGCTTCTTTTTTTCCAACCACAGATGTAAAGGAAAGATGGGGCACAAATATTAATGAGAAAGAGGGAACTAAAAATAATCCAGGACTGCAGCAGAAATCTTGGGCTCTTTCACATGTGCTCAGTCCTATGGAGCCTCTAAATCTTGGAAAAGTTCATGAGGAAATATTAACAGTGCCCTTTTTAATGCAGCTGATGTCTCCAGCCTCCAGTAACAGCAGTGGCTCTCTCTCTCCTTCCTCTTCTTCGGACTGTCTTGTGGCACGAGGCGGCCCTGGCCGCAGTCATGTTGCAGCTTTACGTAGCCGCTTTGAGTTGGAATATGCCTTGAATGCAAGAGCTTATGCTGTTTGGTCACAAAGGTAAGTGTCTGTCATTTTTGGGTGGGTGATATCTTGATCTGGGACAGCATTAGGAGAGTCTGTCCCAGGAGAGAGCCATCTCTTTCCTGGCTTAAAAGCTTCCTAGAGCAGGGATTGTTCTTCTTGAATATTTTGATGGACCTAACATGTAGTGGGTGCTAACCTAACTGAATAATAGCAGTGTGCTTCATTGACATATCACTAGCATTGCTGCTGTGGCAGGGCTTGAAAAGCATTTCAGACTCCTCTCTACTCATCCAGTCCCATCCCAACATGATGCATCTAAGGCAGGGGCAGGCAATTATTTTGGAAGGAGGGCCACTTACTGAGTTTTGGCAAGCCATCAAGGGCCATATGACAGGCAGTCAGGGGCAGATAAATATTTTCTAAAAGTTTTTAGGGGCCCCACGGGCTGGATAGAATGGCCTGTGGGCTGCATTTTGCCCACCCCTGATCTAAGGTGGTTAAAATGTTATTGGTGCTATCTTGTTGTTTAGGCCCCAGTGAGTGCTTTAGTAGTGTAGACTCCCAGTATTGAAAAAACAAAGACAATAAGAACACCTGTAAGAGTATTTAATCAAACTCCTGTACTGCCAAACTCCAAACACAGCAGCATAGTTTTATTGTGTGACAGTCCCCAATGAGGCAGATTGGTACAAGTGCTCAGTTTGTAAGTGTGGCCTGGGTACACCCAGGGGGTGTGCCCTGTCTTCCAATGGAAGGGATGGTGGTCAGGCAGGGTGCTGGAAGAGGGGCCTGCCACCTGGGAGCAGTTCCCTGTCCTCTCTACAGAGTCAAGCTGAGACCAAGCACTTAACTATATACAAATGTATTGCTACAATAAATATAAATAAGGAAGGTTAAATATTTGCAGTAAAATTAACAAGTGACACCACATACCAACGTATAACACCACTTCTAGGGACTACAAAAGCATAAACCAGGTGACTCACAGCATATACAATAATTAATGCCTCCTGCATGAAACTGGCATTAACACATTGAAACAGGTAAGTCAAGGCATCAATACAATAAACACCTATGGGGATCAACTTAAATAACCTAGGTAAGTTGAGAAAACAATACCATAAATAGTGCACTCAGCACCTCCCAGGGTGTTCCCTGGAGCCTTTATGGCCCTTTACCGCCCCGGGATGTGGACACACACCCCCTCCCACAGTGGAGAAGGGTGAAGGCAGCAGACCCTCCTTTCCTAAGCCCACCTCCCCTGCAGGCCTCGCTTCCCCAGCAGCTCATGTGCCCGCTCTGAAGCAGCCAAGGCTCATCCCCTGGTGGCCAGTCCCACTAGGGCCTCTCTCCAGTGGTGCCCCCAGCTCCTCTCGATGGCCTGGTGCCCGGCCATCTGGACACCCAGGGCGCTCTCACACAAGCTGAGCCCTTACTGGCTCCTGGCCTTGCACCGGGGGTTCTTCCCTTTCCTGGGCCCTGCTCTGGGCACTGGGGCTCTTTTCGTTTAATGCAGAGCCACACTGCGGGGCTCTGGTTACTCAGCCTAGAGCTGGTGCTAACTTGACCAGCCTTGAGCTGCTCCCAGGGCCGGTTCTCCATGCACTGATCTGCACACTGTGTGCGGCCTCGAGCTGCTTCCAGGGCCAGCTCTCCGTGCACCGATCTGCACACCATTGAGGCTCAGGCGGGGTCCCAATAATAGTCATCTCTGGAGCTCTTCTCTCCTTGCCATTTCTCATTGTGTCTCTCTCCCCCAGTGTGTTGAGCATGTTCCCCTTTTATAGGCTTCAGGGGCTCCACCCCCAAAGTTCTCCAGACCTGGCTGGGCGCAGTCTCGAACCAGGTCCAAACTACTCCTTGCCCCCTCCCTTGGGGGAAAGGGCGTGGCATTGCTTTTCCTGGTTTGCTTCTGATTGGCGTGTGGGCTCCACCAATCAGAATAGCGGAATCTCAAGCCCAGGACTCATCTGGAGCTGAAGAGGTAAGTCTGCTACATAAGGTACCTGCCCAGTGCTTGCCAGTGGACCAAGAGAAGCCAGTTATTATATAGTGTGACATATTTTTACATTTAAAATGTGAAGGGAATAAAAGTTAAATAATTTTTTGAATAGTGCAGATGAATGCAAGGGATGGTTCTGGCTGGAGACAGAGAAAGGCGGTAGATGGTGGACAAGTGCTGTAAAACTGATATGGTGAGAGGCACTAAGTGATGCTGTTGCACAGTTGTATACGTCTCTTTCCGAGTGTGATTGCTTCTCAGGCTATGAGGAATGAGTGCATTGTGAGTTCTGGGAGGCTGCTTCTTTTTAGGGGACCTGTGCCAACCTTGAGCTTGCATGAACCAAAGGACCAGTGATAGGTAACTTCAAAGCAGCAGCAGGTTCATACACCTTTGTGCATCTTCAAGCCACTAGAGGCAGCTATATTAGCACAGGTCATCCACGAAAAGCAGGATGGTAGGATCTACAAGCCCTCATGCAGAGCCAGGGCTCTTCCAGTGACTCACCTTATTAGCAGAAATTAAAGCCCTGCATAAATCTGTGGAGAAAAAATTTTTGCTGACTTGTGGCAATTATGGCTTATTTACTCTGCCGGCATGAGAGAGAGGTGGGCATGATGTCCTTGTTAGAAGGAACTAGGGGAAAAAGAGACAGAAAGTTCATGCAGGAACAGGCAGATGGAGATACATTTTATGGAACAGCATTAATCTCAGAATGATTTATTACTGTATACTCCTAAACTCTCTTTCCCCCTTCCCTTATCTGGAGTATGTAGCTTTTATCTTGAGCAATGTCTGAGCCCCATTTACTCACAGTGTCATTTTGCAAGTTCTGAAAATGGCATGACCTATTGCTAACAATGCTAGGACAAATATTTATATGTTTAATAAATGTGAATTTTCTGGATATAAAGAATGTCCCACTTCCTGTCCTGAAGAGCTTGCAGTCTAGACAAACAGAAGTAAAGTATTGGGATAGCAGTAGGAAGGCTACAATGTTAGGCAATGTGATTGAGTAGATATAGTTTATCATTTTATTTGCTAGTTCTGGACTCTATTGATCACAGAATCATAGAAAATTAGTGTTGGAAGGGACCTCAGGAAATCATCTCATCCACCCCCCTGCTTAAAGCAGGACCATTCCCAACTAGTTCATGCCAGCCAAAGCTTTGTCTAGCCAAGTCTTGAAAACCTCCAAGGATGGAGCTTCCACCACCTCTCTGGGTAACCTGTTCAAGTGTTTTACTACCCTCCTAGTGAGACAGTTCTTCCTAATATCTAACCTAAACTTCCCTTGCTGCAACTTGAGACCATCGCTCCTTGATCTGTCATCTGTCACCACTGAGAACAGCCTAGCTCCATCCTCTCTCCAACCTCTCTTCAAGTAGTTAAAGGCTGCTATTAAATCCCCTCTCAGTCTTCTCTTCTCTAAACTAAGTAAGCCCAGTTCCCTCAGCCTCTCCTCACAAGTCGTGTGCCCCAGCCTCAAATCATTTTTGTTGCCCTCCGCTGGACTCTCTCCAATTTGTCCACATCCTTTCTATAGTGGGGGGCCCATAACTGGACACAGTACTGCAGATGTGGCCTCACCAGTGCTGAAGAGGGGAATAATCACTTCCCTTGATCTACTGGCAACACACTTACCAATGTAGCCCAGCATGCTGTTAGCCTTCCTGGCAACAAGGGCACAGTGGTGGCTCATATTCAGCTTATTGCCCACTGTAACCCCCAGGTCCTTTTCAGCCCCCAGCCAGTCAGCCCCCAGACTGTATGGCTTGTTCGGCCCTAAGTGCAGGACTTTGTACTCGTCCTTGCTGAACCTCATGAGATTTCTTTTGGCCAGTCCTCCAGTTTATCTAGGTCACTCTGTTGCTGTTGTCATTATTTAACTTTGATCTAAAAGTGCAATGTGAGGTAAGGCATGAGGGCAAAAAGTACTGGGTGACAATGGGGTACTGCTATTAGGTACTGTGGCCAGAGATAGACTGGCCTACTTCCACCACAAGATCGTAACAAACCCCCTTAGGAGCCCATTTGGATTCTGGTCCACAATTTGTTGCATCTTGCCACCCGTACAGCCCTAGAATTTGTAGCCATGGGAATTTGTAGCTGCTATGAAAAACACCTTAGCATCTCCTCCCCAGAGGAAGCAGGAAGCAGGGAGGGTATTGTGCCTCAGAGATGTATATCTATGTTACAAGGTCTTGTGGAAATGCTCCTGGGAGTTGGTCTGACCCTTTGTTCAGGGCTCTGCCTAGAGTCACCGTCTTGTCCTAGATACTAGAAATATTGGATGAAATTCTTTGCTCCCTGAAGTAACAGCAACACCCCCTGCCAGGGAGCCAGGATGTCACCTACCAGGATGTAGAAGGACGTGCCATATTTGAAATGAGGAGGAAAAGGAAAAATGTAATGACCGGTGCTACTTTGTGTGTTCCGCTTCCTCGGAAAAGGAAAACCATTTGCAATATTGTCTGTGGCTGTGTGAGATCTGTGTTCTCTATATCACCGTAACATTACAGTTCATATCTGAAGTAGTCTGGACTACCACTTGGGAGACCTGAGTTTGAGGGCAAATTTAACAATCTCCCGTCTCGATCTCATGGGAACTGAGAGCACTGCAGAAATGAAATGACACTTTTAATCTCTGCTAGGAGAGACGGATTTATGCTTTACTCTCTAGCACCACCCAGCCATCAAAAACTGTAATGGCAGAGAAAGGCCAGCACTTGTTCATTCTGCCCTCGGGGCTCCTCAGGGGACAGAAGGGCTGTTGATGTAAAGGGTTAAAATACTAGCCTGGAATAAAAGAGCAAATAAAATACAGTTCGCTGTCGATGAATGCCTCAGATGGAGAGAGAATGTGCCCACACCTGCACACTCCTGTGCACACATTTTTAATATGGAAGGATGCTGAGGCCTTCCATATTAAAAATATAAATCAAAGCAGAAATACTCATCTGGTGAAATAAAACATCTGATGTAAAATGCATCGCTGTTGCCAGATGCCATTCAAAAGGGAAGCAGAGAT